GTGTGTGTGTGTGTGTGTGTGTGTGTGTGTTGTGTGTGTGTGTGTGTGTGTGTGCGTGTGTGCGTGTGTGGTGTGTGCGTGTGTGCGTGTGTGCGTGTGTGCGTGTGTGCGTGTGTGCGTGTGCGCGTGTGCGCGTGCGTGTGCGCGTGCGTGTGCGCGTGCGTGTGCGCGTGTGCGTGTGCGTGTGCGCGGTGCGTGCGTGTGCGCGTGCGTGCGTGTGCGTGTGCGTGTGTGTGCGTGTACATATATATTATACATATATATATATATATATATATATATATATATATATATATATATATATATAATATATATATATGTATGTATGTATAATAACATGATGCCACACTCAGCAGGGGCCACCTAAGGTCAAGGGTCAAATCTGATGCTTAGATACTTCCGTGAGATCATGTTACTCTTAATAATCATCTTTTAATATCAAGAAGTAGACATAAGAAGAGATATTACCATCCTAACAACGAGAATGCCCGCCGCTATGAACATGGAATGAAGCAAATTAAAGATGGCCAAATTTCTCCCATTTTTGTTGTGGTGTTCCTTGGGGCCTGAATAATATATTCATGCAACGGAACAAACTACAGATCCTCCTTTTTTTCCTCTCTTCTTCCTTCCTTTCTTCCTTCTTCCTTTCCTCTTTCTTCCTTTCCTCCTTCCCTCCTTTCTTTGTTTCCTCTCCTTTCCTCCCTCCCTCATCTCTCCTTCCCTTCCTTCCTCTTTTAGTCCTTCCTTCCCTCCTCCTTCCTCTTTTAGTCCTTCTCCTTCCTTTCCTTCCCTCCTTCCTTCTTCCCTCCTCTCCTCCTCCCTCCTTTCTTCCTTCATTCCTCCCTCCCTCTCTCCCCTCCTCCTCTCCTCCTCTCCCCTCTCTCTGCACTGATTTACTGTTTCCCTCCCTCCTTTCCTTCTTTTCCTTCCTTCCTTCCTTTTTTTCTTCCTTCCTTCCTCCCTCCCTTTCCTTAGGCTTTACGCATTTTTTAAAATTCTCTCCCACTTTCTCTTTTCCACCTTCTATTCCTTCACTTTTGCTGTCTCCCATTTCTCTCCTTTCCACTCCCTGTCTTCCATCCTCTCCACTCCTTTTCTCTCTTACTTAGTTTCTATATTCTTCTTCCATCCCTCTCTCCCATTCTCTATTCCTTTTCACATCAATTCCTCTTCCATCTTCTGCCATTACTTCTTCATCTGTTTACACTTCTCTTTCTCTCTCCCACTCCCTCTCTTCCATTGTCTCATTGTTTCTTCGTTTTCACCCACTTATTTTTTCTCTCTTTCCTCTCCTCTTTCATCCGTCAATTCTCATGCTCTTTCCTTTAGCTTCACTCCGCTCTAATTTCCTGTCTCCCACCTATTCCTATTTCACATTCTTCTTTTACTCCTCTTTTCACATTTTCCTCCTTTTTTTCTCTCCACTCCCTCTCTTCTAATTCTCCTACACTTTTCTCTCCAGATTCTCCCCTCCCCTTTTCCTCTGCCCCTCTCCTTTCTTTTCCTCCCCTTTCTCTATCACCATTTCTCTTCTAATTCCCTTCCCCTTTCCCTCTCCCCACTACCTCCCTTTCTTTCTCTCTTCACCCCTCTCCTTCAACTCCCACCCCCTCCCCCCACCCCTACTACTCCTCTTCATGCCTCTCTCCTTCTATATCCCCCCACTTCCTTTCTCCATTCCCCCCCCCCACCTTCTTTCTTATTCCCCCCCCCCTTTCCCTCTCTCCCACACCCTCCCTTTCTTTCTCTCTTCCACCCCTCTTTCTTCACCTCCCCCCCTCCCCCAACCCCTACTACTCCCTCTTCATGCCTCTCTCTTCCTTCTTTTCTCCCTCCCACTCACTTTCCCTTTCCCCCATGCACCTCTTTCTTATTCTCCCGCTTATTTCTCTCTCTCTCCCACTACTCCCTTTCTTTCTGTCTTCACCCCTCTCCTTTCACCTCCCCCCTCCCCCCACCCCCTACTACTCCCTCTTCATGCCTCTCTCTTCCTCCTTTGCCTCTAACTGTCTAATGTTCAAAGCTCCTTAATGTTCAAACTCATCATATTCTCGAGATTTCCTCACAATGAGAACAGAGAGAGAGACTACTCATAAAGGTAATGGAAACATTTGCTTTACTGAATGAATCTCTTTCTCTCTTTCTCTCTCTCCTTTTTTTCTTCCTCCTTCTTTGTGTCTCCTTCGCCTTTCTTCTTTACTAATTTTGCCGTTTTTTTTTTTTTTTTTTTTTTTTTTTTTTTTTTTTTTTTTTTTTTTTTTTTTTTTTTTTTTTTTTTTTTTTTTTTTTTTTTTTGCTATCTGGTCCCTTTATATGTCTAGATTAATATATATGATATTGGTTTGGTGATCATGGTGTTGGTTCAAGTGAGAAAGGGTGTGAGAGTGTAAAAAAATTCTATGAGGTTTTATTCCCCACTGGCAACACTGCTGCGGCATTGAGCATCTTTGTTAACATTTTTACGTAATAATTAATCCGTTTAAATTACTTTGATATCATTCGCTCATTTCTCACTCTGTTATAGTTTGTTTTTTGTTTCTCTTTAATCTTCTTGCTCTCTCTCTTTTTTTTACGTCACCACCTGTTATTAAGAAAATAAATACGTCACACCTGTTATTTAAGAAAAAATAATCTCTAATTTTCCTGCTCTCTCTCTTTTTTTCTCTTTCTTCTTTTTACGTCACCACCTGTTATTTAAGAAAAAAATAATAATCTCTAATTTTCCTGCTCTCTCTTTTTTTCTTTTTTTTTTTTACGTCACCACTGTTATTCAAAAAAAAAATCTATAAAAAAGGTTATCCTTATTTCCTTAAAGATGTTCTCGTACTTCGCTCATTTCAAATGTACACCATACTCCATCTCCCTACTCCCTCTCCCCATTAAAAAATTAACCCACATTTTACTTCCCACTCGTTTTATCTCTATTTTTCTTTATTCCAACCGCAATTTTTTATTCCCTTTTTTATTCATTAATTTATTCTATTTTATTTTTTATTCTTTTTTTTTTTTTTTTTTTTTTGCAATGCAACCATCACTACATTATTTTTTTACATAATAGAATTTTACCCCACAGTTGTTTGCAATGTATCACATTTCTTTTCATATAATACAATTGGGTCATTCTATGCCGATTCCCCCCCCCCCCTGTGACAACTCTTCAATTTGCCTAATTACTTTTATACGGTACCTTTGATGCCAAATGAAAGAATCTCAAATTTTAGCGTCCTAACTAAAGATACGGACCTTCCAAGGTTGGGTAACACACCCACTTTTCGGGTCCGTGAATTGCACACATAACTTGTAAGCCTCTTTGGACACCCATATCTTTGTTTTTTAGATAGATGCAGGTCTTAAAAATGCCATGTACCTTTATCCTGAACCTTGTCCTATTCAGATTTTGTAGTTAGAAATAGCTTAGATTGATTATTTTTGGATACTAATCTTATGAAAACTGATTGGTAAACACCCACTTTTCGGGTCCGTGAATTGCACACATAATTTGTAAGGCGTTTTGGACACCCATATCTTTGTTTTTTAGATAGATGCAGGTCTTAAAAATGCCAACTTTATTCTGACCTTGTCTATCAGTATTTTGTACTTAGAAATGCTGAGCTTGATTATTTTTGGAGATACTAATCTTATAAAACTGATTGGGTAACACGCCCACTTTTCGGGTTCGTGAAGTGCACACATAATAAGTAAAGCCTCTTTGGACACCCATATTTCTTGGTTTTTTTTTAGAGAGAAACAGGTCTTAAAAATGCCATGTACCTTCATTCTGATCTTGTCTATTCAGATTTTGTAGCTTAGAAATACTTTGAGCTTGGAGCTATTTTTGGAGATACTAATCTCTAAAATGTTGGGTAATAACACCACCTTTTTCGGGTCGTGAAGTGCACCATAATTATAATCATTATAATAAGCATCATTGGACACCCATATCTTTGTTTGTTTGTTTGTTTTTAGATAGATACAGGCCTAAAAAATGCCATGTACCTTCATTCTGACCTTGTTTAACCAGATTTTGTACTTGGAAATAAGCTTAACTTGACTATTTTTGGAGACATTAACCTTTTAAACCCTAAATGGCTTATTAGAAATAGCTTAGCTTGATATTTTGGATATCAAATCACTTTTAAAAGACTGAATATTTAACGATGCTGATTAAGATTTTTTTGAGCATTTTTTTGGGTTCAGAATCTTGGTAATATGTGGTGTATATCATTGGAGTTGCAATTGATTTAATATCAATTTGGTAAACTGTCCAGTGTATTCGAAGAGTTTCAAGGGAACTTAGACCTTAAATGAGGGAACAGGGGGGGTCCCAAACAGGGCTCGATACTCCTACATTAAGGCCCCTGCTGACCATGCGGGCATTGATCGACTTTGGTCTCTCTCGCTATCTATTTCCTTTCTGCGTTTTCGTTTCGTTTTTCGTTCGTTTTCCGTTTTCGTTTTCGTTTTCTGTCTCTGTCTCTGTCTCTGTCTCTGTCTCTGTCTCTGTCTCTGTTCTGTCTCTGTCTCTGTTCTGTCTCTGTCTCTGTCTCTGTCTCTGGTCTTGCTGGGTCTCTGTCCTGTCTCTGTCTGTCTCTGT